GCCATTTTTCGGAAAGTACGGCCCCCAGCATCGTGTGCGAGAACCTGGGGTATTTGCTGGTGGGCGTCCGTTCCACCACGGAACGGGTGTGGAATTCTTCCCATATCGTACTTCGATATTATGGTCAGGATGGCCTGCCGCTTGTGGAGCACCTGATTTCCGAAAGCTTGCTGGATCTTTTGGGAGATCTGCTGAAGGAAGCCCTGGCGTCGGAAGACGAACTGAGAGGGGTAGGCACTCGCCAGAATTCACTTTGCTGAAAGAACGGCCCGCAGCATCGTTTGGAATAACCTTGAGTACTTGTTGGAGGGCATCCGTCGTTGCCCAAAACCGTAAACCCTAAACTCAGATTAGCATGGCCCCTGCGCAAGGATGACACGCGCAAATCCAGAAGTGTAGTCTTGGCCTCCCAGCATACAAATTACCAGGAGGCTCAGCGGATTTCGTAGGGAGGCGCTCAAGAAGGTATAGGCAGGCTAACCTCAACTAGGGGGCACGTAACCCCGAGTCCCTGAGCCTCACGCGTGCAGCCACCGTAACTGCGTAGTTATACTTAGCTTGGACGTAAGTAGCATACTGTCTCTCAAGGATTAACTATGGCAACCCTACACCCTTAGCTGTGTGACCACTAGTTAGTTCTGAAACATCTCATTGCTCGCAGCGGCCCTCAAACTAAACCCTGATCCCCAGACCCCTACACATGTGTATATAAACATATCACGTTCAAACGCGTGTCAATGTAGATGGTCTGTATGAACCTCTATAAATGCTCCGTCCCAATCTCAGTTCTTCAAAATAGTCGCGCGAAGTCGGCGTGATTTTCCGCGGCTGGAAAAAACGGCTGACGGTGAGCCCCTGGCAAAATGAGAGTAACAGAAACGCCTAGTTTGGAAACGCTAATTTTTTCATCTTAGCCTAACAGCTCTAAGCAGCCTCACAACCGAAGTTGAGTATCCTGTCTGATATTGGGTAGGGTTACATCCTCCTTTCTCAGTACGGTATTTTAGGAGAGGAATGTATCTTTACTGGGTACAACCCGCAAAAATCAAAATAACATGCTACCCCGATGGACTCGTGATATATACCCTTGCGATCCCCTATAAACCCTTAACCTTAATCGCCTCGACTCGACTGATTCCGATACATCCCTGGCTCCGGAGACAAAACATGGGGTTCGAAGTAGACAAAAACCCCAAGAAGGGAACTTATCATGTCTTGGGGAGCCATTTGCAAGAAGGATTTTGTTTCGATAAGTCCGTTGCTCCGCAAGGCCACGCCAGACCTGCACAGCGACTGGAACAAAAGCTTCTGTACGGACTCCTACAAATGCAAGGTGTTCATAGGTGTTCGAGTGTGTCTAGCCGGACAGGAGCTCACGTGTGGGCTGAGTGGGGAATCTAACCCCTTTGAAGCGCAGAATTTTGACTGGATCTGCCCTCCGTGAAGCTGCAGGTAGGGTACGGTATGTATGATACGCGTACTTTCGACTTACAGTGAGCTAGACCGCAACTACATGCGACGTGCCTCAGGATGGCTGCTTAAAGTGCTTTCACGGTGGGATGGGATCGGGTCCATGTCTGCTAAGCTCCACCCGCTGGACTCAGGGTAGACTTTGCAGTTTGCAGCGGAAGAAAGACTTTGCAATGTAACTCTTGTCAGCCTCGTATCACCACACAGCCTTGCGATGCCGCGGTCCCAGTTTTACAGGTCATTGTTCCCTTCACTTCTCTCAAGTTAAATTTGTGCACGGCTGTAAATATGACTTCAGCGAGCTTGCACGCTCAGCCAGGCAGATGTGCTTCGGGGCTTTGGGGAGTTGAGACGATGCGGCCATTGAAGTGCTGGTGATAGCTCAGTGTAGTTCCAGGCTCCAGGTGCTGTCAGACGTAGTGTGACATGGAGCGCACAGACGCCTGGTGTGAGGCGACACTGTCGCAATGAGGGTGTCATGTAGTCGCCCTAGCCGTGGAACTCGACTTGTAGCAGCGTGTCCTGCTGAGCACAGCCGAGCAAGGCAATCTCAATCCTCAAAACCCTGTTACTAGGTTCCCTGCAAGTATACACCACGATAGGAGTCCTATCCCCGTTTATACCTTATTTGCTAAGTCCGTTGATCCTTCAAGTACCCTAATCCCCAAACCCTAGAGCCTAAATCTCCTAAACCCCTTCGAAGAGATTCTAGGCTTCTTGTCAACGAGGGCAGAGAGCGTATCCATTGGTGAGTGTTTTTGGGAAATCAGGTTTGGGGTTTAGGGTTCAGGGTCTAGGGTACCTGAACCTAAAAGCATTTAAAATAATGGCCATTATGGCTGTTATTGTGAGGTCACGGTCATTGTTTTACATACTCTGGTTTCGGTACTGAGCCGCATTATGCTGATAGGTAAGGTGTCATAATGGATATTCGGTGGACGTGTTGGACTTTGTTGCGAGAAGCATCTAGCGCCGTGCAAGGGCCGTTGTACATAGACACATAAAGCTAGCACGCGGGACCAGCAGCATTTGACGATAGACAATTTAAAGCCTCGAGCCTGAGGTACCTCAAACCTAGGAAGGCAGGTCCTTCTTAGCCACATCACCAGACATGACCGTCTGTTTGCTACCACGGAAACAGTTGATTGCTTGAATATATGCTCTGTAGGGCGCGGAATACGAACAAGCACACGTAAAATTGAAGAAGTATACATATGTACATATCTCATTTGTTATGATATGTGGAGTGGTTTTGGAGTGCGGTTGGATACGGGAAGCAAACCAGAACCATCAGCTGCGTTCTTGTCATACTTTACTGGGTTGCTGTTAAGGAACTTAAGCTAAGTTACTATATTGAGGAAACCCTATTATTTACTCTATATACCCATTATGGTGACTTAACTTAAGTTCCTTAACAGCAACCCAGTTTAGTGTCAGTCAAGGTGAAGGTCTTTATTCCCTGATCCCAGGATGAAAATCTGCCCACTCCCTGATGACTGTTGAAAATTCCATTCCTGCCGTAGTGTCCATTCAAGCGGCTCCATTTATCCTATTCCGGGCTAGTTTTTTCCATGATTCTCGAAGGGTTTCCTTAAATGAAAAGACCAATTCACGCAAGCTCCGTAGGGGGTAGCTCAGGAAGCAATATTCGAGCCTTTACGTACTTTCTAATGAATTTTATCAAGCAAATCAGCCTTCAAATTAAATTCATTTCCAGAGCAGCCAAGTAAGCGAGTCTCCCTAAATCTTAAGCTTGCCATGGTGAGCTCCTGAATCTAAGTAAGCCTTAAACGAAAAGCTACTCTAATTCGTTTGTAAATTTGTAAACTTTGTAAACCAATCAAAAGCCATTTAAACTCAAGTAAGAACCCATTAGCCGTCCGGCTATTATTTCCTAGGTGTTGGGGAAAATGTGCTTTAAATATAGGTGGTTTCCAAAAAGCATCTGCCTTTAAAGTAGTCTTTGACACCAAATTTGGCGAACATTATTTTCTTCAAATCTAGGAACTTGTATTAATTAAGAGCACGGATTAGCCCAAATCAGGTACCCTGTATGGATTTGAGGGACCAAAGTGGGTGGTATGAACCCAAAATCTCAAAACCCCGCATCCTTTCAAAGGGCCCTTGTGCAATTACTTTGAATCCCTTTAAAGGGACCTTATAATTGCATAGACATAAACCTAAGCCCTTATCCCTTTCAGGGTGCTCTTGTGTGCTTTTGCGGCTTGCGTAGGAGATGCAGGTGCAGCACTTAATCCTGCCACTCAAAGCAGGGTGGGGTTGTCGCAAAAGGGGAGGACCCTATGGGGCTGCCTGGAGTAGTGTCAAATTAGAGGAGCGCACCCTTCGCAATCTGGCACTGAGCACCAAAAAGGGCCCACAAAGGCTCTTTGAATGGGACCGGTATGGGCTTCATGTTAGTTTGGGCGAGTGTAGTTCATTTCCATGTGATTCATCGTCTTATCTATTGTCAGGTTTCTTCTGATGACTATTATCACACCTCTGATGGCCACTGTTGACACAAAATCCTGCAGGATTCCGGTACACTAGAATGTGATATCACTCCCGAAGCACGAGGCGCTCTCGCGATTTAGGGTCTAGGGGTTCAGGTTCGTGCTGGATTTGTAGTATCCACTGTATGATTCTCACTTTGTTTTCTACATGAAGGCAGGACAGCTTTTTCCAGCGAAGCACTTGGGGCTCTTTAACGTCTAGACCTAGGTTCTTTGGAAATTCCCTAAGCAATCCCTACATAATCCTTTTGGGATACCAGCAGACCTAGAATCGTGCGTATTCACATACCGGGGGGTGGTATGCCGGGATGGTAAGGGGAATTCAGTTAAGAAGGTTTACCAGGGAGAGCCACAGCTCCGTGATTTCTGAACCACTGTTCCCTCTGCGTGCGTCAGCTTTATTATGAGGGTCCTGGTATGCACGAGGAACCCTAAACCTATATAACCCCTATATAACCCCTATACCCTAGAAAGCCTCGAGGGTCTCCCCTGCTGTTTACAGCATGAGGGGTTGAGGTTGAATCGCTGGAATCGCAAGACGCTTCCAGTGTCAGGGTCGCGCTGGAAGTTTGGCGCGGCTACTGTCAAAATCACTCTTGAAGAGAGCGGGAGCGAGATTGGCAAAAAATCGTCGCAGATTGGCTTGAGGACCAGGAGACAATGTGCTGAAATTTTTGACAGCACGGAATGCAATACATGCCGGGACAGCTTGCTTCAGTTGGCTCAGACAACACGACGTCACAGGCGTAAATTTCAGTTGCAGCGCAAAGTAGGCCAGGAGATTCAAACAAACAGCCTAGGTTCCTAGGTCGTGTTGCAAGTGTACTGTACCCTGCACACCTTTGCCCGAAACGGTCTTGCAATGCCTGTGCCTAACTTCACCACAGAAGAAGCTGCAGTGCCTCTTAAACAACAGCAACAAGGCTTCAGAATTTTCTATGACCCTTGCTTGCGTTAGAGCTAGAGGGTGATCCGCCGATCCGCTGCTTGCTTCCTGTGCTGGGCTCTTGCTCAGCCATGGCAGCCGCGATGAAGCAGTCGGCCGAGAGGTTCCTTTGCCTGATTGGTGGCTGCTTCTAGAGGATATTGAAGGATTCTTCCCCGCAAGATTGCCATAGTTGATCAGAATTGGCTGCAGATGTTCTTGGGCACTTTGCGTTTCATCTGGCTGCTTCCCAACACGGCGAGTCAACCAGGCTGGACTGGATGTACGAGCAAAGCGCTGCATCCGTCAAGCCTGATGAAGACTCCCTGATGAACATGCCCATCAGTGCCCAGAAGGACATTCACACATAATTCGTCTGCTGTAAACATGCGCTACGAATGCACAGATTTCTGTACCGCTGACGGTTTTGGCTGCCATGGGGTATCCCCGCACAAAGCTGCAGTGATCCTTTAATCATACGCTTCGTGTCACATGCAGGACAAAGACATTGAGGATGTCAAGAATCTGCAGTGCCTTGGCAGCCACTGCTTCCACAGTGTTGCGGACTTGGTAGTTAAACAACGGGTATGTAGCCGCAGGTATTGCTAAAAAGCAATTTCAGAAAATCACTTCGCCTCCTCGTGACAGGAGTGCCACAGCGGGGTCTCTGTTCCTGGGCAGCGCGACTAAGACAACCGAGGCGGGCGACTAGCTTGGGTTGCTGTTAAGGAACTTAATTTAAGTTACTGTATTGGGGAAACGCTATTATTTACTATATATACCCATTATGGTAACCCTAAATCCTAAATCCTAAACTTAAACCCATTATGGTAACTTACTTTAAGTTCCTCAACAGCAACCCCTAGCTGGACGCTCGGGGAGTCGCCCCTCCAAGATCCTGCAAGACCTGCCCTCCTGGAGCTCCAAAACTTTGCCAAAACCTGGGTTGCTGTTAAGTTACCATAATGGGTTTAGGGTTTAGGGTTTAGGGTTACCATAATGGGTATATATATATATAGTAAATAATAGCGTTTCCCGAATATAGTAACTTAATTTAAGTTCCTTAACAGCAACCCAGACTTGCCAAAAAACTCGCACAGAGGTTTAGTTAGGTACCACCTGTCCAAAGGCATCGTTTACACCTGGGTGGGTAGGGTCCTGGGATATTTTTTTTTACATTTTCCCAAATGGCAGTAATGGGGGACCCTACATACGAATGTTTTTTTTAAGGGGCTTAGGGGCCAACCTAAGCAACTTATCTGTCAAGCTATTTGAGCGACGGACTAAAATTCCATCTCTTTAAACATGTGTAACGTCTCTCAGAATCCTGGAAATCATGCGTTCAGTCTGTGAAACGAGAGGGTCCCCCGCCAAATAACCAGAATTCTTGTGTGTGAACGCAAATTTGTTGAGAAACGAGATTCAAGGCCCGACTCAAGTGTTGTAAAACGAGATAGTAGTAGATTTAGCCAATTGGTCGCAAGCCTAGTATAGAACAAGATGGTCCCCCCCAAATGCTCCTGAGCACGCGAAACCAGATGGAACGAGATTCTTTTGACCATAGGCCAGACAAGAAGTTTTGTCCGCTGCTCATTTGGCAGGACATGGTCCGAAAGCTTCGAGAAGATCCACTGTTCCAGATCCGGCGGCAAGAGCACGCCGCTAGAGAGAGTATGCCTGCCACCAAGCGTACTTGACATGGGTGACATCACGGAAAGATGCCTGCCCCCAAGGATGGCGAACCCGCTCATCATGGCAAAGATCCAAAAGAAGCAGGAGAAGGAAATGAAGATTCTGGGTTGCTGTTAAGGAACTTAAATCAAGTTACCATAATGGGTATATATAGTAATTCATATGGTTTCCCCAATGTAGTCCCAGGATTCGCAGATTGGTTGGCAGCGTGCTGCCGCACCTTTCCGCTGGACGTCTTTTCTTCACTTTCGCTATCCGCTCTCACTCGGGAAGAGATCACTAAGGAAGGTTGCCAAAAAAGAAAAAAAGGCCGCCAAGAAGGAAGAGAAGGCCCCAATGGAGCCTTCTGACCAAGCGGTAGCCAGTATCAGTATGCCATACCTTATGGAAGGCATCATGCTTGTAGCGAGCTGCATGCCCTCCAGTCTGTAGCCTTGTTCAGCCGACATTATCATTGTCAAGTTCAGCAGGCCTTGAAAAAAGCGGCCAAAGCTGTGCCTCAACTTGTATTAGGAAATCGAGAGGCGCTCTGCTTCGTTCTTGAGTTCCTTGCCTGTTTAAGCTGAGGCCAAGAAGGCGAAAGAGTCCAGCGACTCCGAGCCGGAACCTCCTCAGGCAGCTGATCAGAAAAATCAGCACGCATTTGGCAGGGTGCAAGCCTTCTCTATAGGCCCTGGAAGTCTTAGGCACAACAGAAGCGGCCGCGACAAGAGGAGAAGGAAGAGTCCGGGTCTCAGCCTGCGTTCCACGAGACTGCCATGGGCAAGCTTGGCGCATGGCGGCACCAAGCAGGCTTGACCTGGCTGCCCTTGGACCCAGCAGTGTCGTGGTCAGCAAGCGCATGGAGCACGCAGGGAGCCAAGTTTCACTAAGAGCGGAGCGCACGCAACACTGTTGCATACTCTTGCACCGCTTTCAGGAGCAGCGAGTGCAGAAGCAGAAAGAAGCCGCGCTGGCAAGTCGCGGCTTGGGCAGGCGCAATCAGTACCCACTGGCTTTGTAACTACGAATTACCTTAGAAGCCTTTGGCGAGGCGGCTCACAGAAGAAGAGAAGGAGCGCCGCGTGGAGCAGATGAGGGTCCGGGACTGCAATGATGTGCTCGCAGATCCTCGCAACCATCCCTTACTTCTTCACATGGGTAGGTGGATGCGAAAAAGCATGAGAAGCAGCTCCGGCATGCTTTGGCATTGGCCATGCGGTCGGCTCTTCTGCGAAGTCGCGTGTTGCCATGCGGTATCGCCCCGAGGAGGCACCGTGCAAGCTAATGTCAGGATGAAGGACCAGCGCATTGCCACCGCTGAAGAGCGAGAGAAGCAAATTGAGGACGGCAGCCGTGCAGACATGCCAGCAGTAAACTGGGCAGGCAACCCCCCCCACCCCCCTATTGTTAAATACTGGCAATACATTATGATATACATATATATATATATATGTATCTGTATAAGTATATATGTATACACCGCAATGGGGAGTATTTGATATTAGGGGGGTGGGGCACTTTCGAGTTGTGAGCCCTGGGCTTAGAAGTCCAAATCCTGGCCCAAGGAGCTGGAAGCCAAGATGCGGGAGAAGTCTGACCAGTGGCTTGACAGCACAGTTCCTCTAACTGTAGTAGAATACACTGCTTGTACATTGAATTATTAGGCGTGGAGTTGAAACGTGTATGGGTGTACATGATCATCATGAAATTCCCTGATCTTCTCAGGAAATATTTCCGAGATTTGCGGAAGGATGCCTACGCTGGTGATGCAGAGGCGCCTTTCCGACTTGAAGCTCTTGCGGTGGCGTTCGTCTTGGCAAACTAGGTGCCCTGGGATCATCACGTGATGAATCTCCGCTCTGACTATTCCTCTTGGTTACGGGGTCCCAACTTCTGAAAAAATGGGAATAGCGATGTCCTGCCGCAACACTCTCAAAGACATTGATTTTTCTCATACGCGTGAGAACTGCCCCTGTCACAGACGACAATGGCGGACCGCCTGAAGAACCAACGGCATCGAAGACAGAAGCCCTTGGCAAGCATTTATCCGCCTGACTCTGGAATACTGCGTGGATGTGCGCTTTTGCCTTCATGTCATGCGGCCTCTAGTGGGTGACAGGGATTCACTCATTATCCTGTACTGTACATGGTAGCTTCCCAAAAAAGGGGGACCCCAATGTAGACCCAAATATACTATAGTCATTTTTAGAGGGACCCTCAAAAAGGCACTAAGGTACTCCTAATTTTGGGGAAACCCCCACTTATTCAAGCTGCAATGGCACAGACTTGCGGTCTATTGGCTAAGGCACCTCAATGCCAGGGGCTCAGACACAGATTCGATGGGCATTGCTGATGTTGCAATGCCCACTGATTTTGCCCGAAGGGCTTAGACATGCTTGGACAATTTCTTAGCTCTTACAATGGTAATACTGGCAATAATAAAAAATTGAGATATCAGTAATTCTAGAAATAGTCTAGTCATAGGAATACTTGTAACAGTAGTAACAATAGTAATAGTCATAGGAAGAGGAATAATAGGTTCTTGGGCATCAGTCTGCTTGCAAGTCAGCCGAGGACCCGCTTGAGAGAGACTGAGCCACTTCTGCCTCAAGATGGCTGCTCAGCTTTACCCGCGTCAAGAAGGAAAGATGAGCTTCCCGCAGCCACTTCTTGGGATATTGAATTCCTACAGTCGCCCTTAAGTAGATGGAATATGGCTTTGGGTATGTCATAATAAGATTCCCATATACACCACATGCTATCTACTTAAGACGGACTATAATCCGTATTCATTCCTGCCCAAGGTGATTGTGGAAGAACCTCGCCCTTCCTTCACTTGTCGCCGCCGTGTGCGCTGCACGAGCAAAAGATGGGCCTCAGTCCGCAGCATTTGAACTGGAGTCTAAACTCCTCAAAGGAGTATATACATACATATATATATATAACATAAGGGATTTTATGGGGGTGTGTTCCCACTTCAATCATTTAGAAACAGGCAGGGTCCTCAGCATCGCCTGCAGCGGCAGTGCGGCTTGGTCAGAGAGCTTGCCGCCGTAACCTGTGCAGAACATGAACACGCTGCTGTCCCGTCTCCCGAATGCAGGCTGCAAGATGCTGGCCTCACACACTACCAGAGTCTGTGTGTCCCGAAGGAGAACGTCACAAGCAAGAGGAAGATTCAGAGTTGTGGATGAGAGGTTAGATGAAGAAAAACGAGAACACGTCAAGAAGCGCAGCGAGACAGTGAGAGACAGATAACAGGAGGAGATACCGAAGGCCCTCTTAGCTAGAGCCTTGAGCTTGGGTAAGGGCCTTTCATGGGTTCACGTCGATCTTGTTTCTCACTCCTCCGCAGGCATCTCGCGCCTTCGAAGGGCTCAAGAGGCCTCTGTTAGGGTGAAAGAAGTTTTGGGAAAAATGGTTACAGCGCAGTCACACACTCACTGATATACAGACATGTGGGACTGCACACAGAAGCTGACAGGTGCACTCAGTGCAGCGACAGCATGTCATTGTCACAGTCTCCATCTCATTTTCCATTTCCTTTCCCATCTGATTATCTATTCTTGGTTATCTAGATTTATTGTAGCCTTTGTCTAGTCCCTATACAACCCCTATATGGCCCATATGTGATCCCCAAATCAGTGTTTGCATGTGCTTGCCAATTGGGGCTGTTTTACGCGATCCTGTTGGCTGCACGATGCGTGACGCTCGTCGCGCTCGAAGTTTGGCACGGCTAGCGCATTTGCGAAAATGGAGAATCACATGCTTCTGGACTAGGAAATGACATGGGAACTAGGGTCACATATGGGCAGGATTGTGACGTCCAAATTACTCTTTCAGAGAGCGGTTTGGAAGACACCTGGGCATAAGCTTGTCGCATGTCCATTTGGGGACTTTGACCAGCCCGCAGTAGCAGCTACCTCGAGCAATCGTGGCCAAACAGTTGCTTTCCGCAAGGGGAGCTTTTGGCAGTCATGGAAATCAGTTAAGCCTGAGGTGCTCCGTTCATCACACAAACCTGTAAGCAAGGAAACTTTGGTTCGGTGTGGCTCAAAGCCTAGCTAGGCTCACGCTCAGGGCCTGTGGCTTTATTGTGCCGCCCTTGCCCCTTGGAGCTCAACTATGTGGCAGAAGGAGTTGCACATCTATCACCCATTTGATCATATTTGATCATCATTTTGGAAAGAAGGAAGGAGCAGTCAAGCTCCTCTCAATCTGGCAACGCGAAGTCATGTGATGTTACTTGTTTCCCTGGTCTTTTATTATCTTCTATTATGGACCCTTGATTTGACCTCTACGGCTTTTAAGGCTTTTTCTTTGTACGGTACGTACTGGTATATAAGGGCCTTAAATCCTAAACCTTAAAAAGTGGTTTCCATTTTCCGTTATCCCTATACTCCCCAATATACCCCAATGTAGATTACTATACTATAACAGACTATCATATAGTATATTATAGTATATTATAATATACTATAATATACTATATCTATCATATAGTATATTGTAGTATATTATAATATACTATAATATACTATATTATCATATGTTCTAGGCTCTTGTGTAGACGAGGTCCAGATGGCGAGCGGCTCCGAGCCGGCGGCGGCGGAAGCAAAGGCAGCCCGTAATGCAAACATCCTTCCCAGCAGAAGTGAGTAGTATTTTCTTTGGGGATACTATGGTACCCATTATAGAGTAAGATTCTATCCTGCTTTTGGGGTAGTTGTCTTGAGGTCTATATCGGGATTTATGGAAACTACCAAGTCAATTCGCAAGTGCTAGACCATTGTTTCTAGCTGCCACCATGTGCCGTGAAGCCTAAACCTTAAACCCTAAACCCCAAACCCCAGACGCAGGGGTGTTAAAAAACCCCCCAAACCCCAAACTCTGAACCCTAAACTCCAAACCCTAAACCCCAAACCGCAGGAGGAGGATGGCCAAGGAGCTCCGGCTCCCAAGCATGAGCTGCAGCATCGATGGCCAGCCTTCGGCGCGCTTAAGTGGGTTGTTCTAGAGATTAGGGCTTAGGGTTTGGAGTGTAGGTTTGTAGGGTTTAGGTTTTAGGGTTTAGAGTTTAGGGTCTAGGGTTTAGGTTTTTGGTTGTAGATTATATTACATCACCTAATATTGGGCGTACCAAAATGCGACCTTAATTTTGAGAATTACCCAAGTGTGGTCCACCTGGAGCCTTCGTGCCGTGTTGAGAGACGTCGTTCTTGTTTCTACCACTTGTGCATCAGCTTGCCATGGAAGGCAGCAAGCGTAGTAGTAATAATGGTAATCATAATTATTCAAGCCCGTCACAACAGCCATAATGGTAATGACCATAAGAATTTCAAGATTAAAATCATACTAGTGATAGAGTGATGATATGATAAACTAAATTGGATTGCTATAAAGATAATGAGTAATAGCAGTAGTCATGGTAATCATAATCATAGTCAAGCCAGTGTAATAGTCAAGGCAGTAATAGCAAAACATCAATAGTAACAACAGTAACAGTAATAACAGCAATCGTAGGTGATAATGATTGACAGGTGCCTCTGGGTGCATCAGCGGCCAGGAGCGCAAAAGGCCCTGGGCTACATCTCCGGGTTTTAAGCTGGGTTCCAGCTTTGTTGTTGTAAGGGGGCGGGGCTCCCATAATTAGGGTTATTTGGGGGTCCCCATAATAAGGGTTATAGTACTTTGGCGTTTAGGGTTCCAGCTTTGTTGTTGGGTTTAGGGTTCAGGGTTATGGGGGGGTTCCCAAAATTAGGCTTACCATTTTAGGGGGTGCCCACAATAAGGACTACAGTATTTTCGGGTTTATATTGGGGCACAATTTTGGGAAACTACCAAGTTCAGGTTCCAGGGGCGCGGGAGTTCCAGAAAAACATGCATCAACTTACCTGTCCTTTGCTTGGCCCTAAGCACTAAATCCTAAATCCTAAACCTGAATTTTAAATCCAAAGCCCTAAATCCAAAGCCCTAAACCCTAAACCCGTAATCCCAAACCCGAAGCCCTAAATCCTAAACCCTAAGCCCGGTCTGCCATCCAGGGCCAAGCATGGAACGAAAGCCAGCGGGAAGTCCACTCCTTCGCGACTGTCGAGGACGAAAGCGTACCCCAGGGAGCTAAGGGTTTGGGGTTGAGGGTTTAGGGTTTAGGGCTGCTGACTTGTGAGACTCAGTAAAGCAACTAGCAGTGGGCACCTGATGGATGCCATGCACTGTAGTGACATGAGTGCGAACATTGTGCAATCCTTGCAGGACTTCTGGTGCATGTTTCACTTTTCCTACCCGCCGTCCAAGCTAGAGAACGTGGATTACTCGCTCTTCAAGCAAGGCTGGGTTGGAGCTATCATAATTTACTATAACTTATTAGAATTTATCACATTTTACTGTAGTTTATTATAACCTATATTATAGTTTACTATGACATATTATAATTTACTACAATATACCTCTTTTTGCCAGCGCTTTGCGCCCAGCACATGGAGACAGCATGAGACCAAGAGCCAAGTGCCCCTGCAGAGGCACCAAATGTGTGCAAGGGCTCCACAGATAAGGGAACATGTAGGGTTCAGGATTTCGGGTTTAGGGTTTCGGGTTTAGGATTTCAGTATGTCCTGCTTCGCCTGCTTTGCGCAACAAGCTCCCTTGCCCGTCAAATAGCAGGTGTCGCGCCCGCCTGGGAGGCACGTGCATGTAGGGCCTTCATTATAGAAATGTGATTTCGCTCGAAGTGATGATGCTGAGCATGCTTCTTTCTCCAGCCAGCTAGGTGCATTCGCTGTTGATGTCTGAGTGGTCTATTCCTCGCGTTTGAGGTGTTCCGCGCTTTTGGGTTTACAATGGTGGAAGTAACGAGCTCTATCAACAAGCCTACACAATCCGAGTTTCCGTTTGAAATGTCATGTTCTGTTCCATTGATTTCGGGGTCACCGTTCAGGATGAACAAAAACCTTTAGTTCAATCCCAACCCTTAAGTGCTAAACCCTATGTAACCCCAATATACCTTATATAAACCCTATATAAAACTAATATAAGCCCTATATAAACCCTATATACAACTAACATTAACCCCATATAAAACTAATATAAACCCTATATAAACCCTATATACAACTAATATAAGCCCTATATAAACCTAATCTAAGACCCTACATAAACCTAATCTACACCCTATAAGCCTTAGTGTCAGGATGCCGCCTTCAAGAATGGAGGCCGATGGGTCATCAAGTTGGAGAAAGTGAAGGCCAGGTGTTGGGTTTCGAAGTAATAAGGTTTAGGGGTTTAGGGTCTGGGGTTCAGGGAGATATAGGGGTTCTATAGGGGTTGTATTGGGGTAATGGAAAATAAAATGGAAACTACTATATTATAGGGTTTACGGTTTGGGGGTTAGGGTTTTTAGGGTTTTTAGGGCTTTTGGGGTTGGGGCGAGGAAAGGCGGCTGCTTAGGGTTATCTCGGGTTCATGTAAGGGTTATACAGGGTTTATATAGGGTTTTTGTTAGGGTTATATAGGGTTTGTGTAGGGTTTATGTTAGGGTTATATAGGGTTTATGTAGGGTTTGTATTAGGGTTTATATAGGGGTTTCACAGGGTTTA